AACTTAGTTGGCGTCAGGAAGAGAACAGCCAAACTGTCTTGGATTACAGAGAAGACTCGATTCATCAGAATGGAACGGAATCAGGCAAAGAATGCGCATCTGCAACGGTCTACTGCCCACTAAAAGGCACCTCATCGCCGTCTCGTTCGTGCAGTCAAACTAGAGCTACAGTCGAGGCAGGAAACTGTGGTTGAAGGGGAAATCAGGAAGATCGAAAAAGCAGTCAACAATAACAAATAGCGAACAGTGTTCAAACGGGTGCAACAGTAGTTCTGTAAGCAGAATATTCGATCTGTCCTTATCCAAGAAGCTAAGAGTGTCCCATTAGCAGATCAGAAGGAACACCTCAAAAGATGAGTCTAGCGTTTACAGCAGCTGCTCAACGACTGCCCCCAGATTCGTCATTTCAGACTGTCAATTCTCTGCCAACACATGAGGTTAATACAAGTCCGCCCACAACACCAAATATCTATGTTACATCTAAAGGTGAAGAAATCCCGCGGGGTGGACAGAATTCCTCCGGTGATAGTAAGGCATAGACGTACGGAAATTCTAGAAAAGCGTTATGCCGTCTTTAATCAAATATGAACTACAAACGTTGCCCAGGTGAACGGAAATGCGGAAAAATTTCCAATATTTAAAGGGGATAGGGTAATGAATATAACAATTATCGCGGTATCACACCACTGTCAACTGCTAAGAAGCTTTTCCTGAATGATAATGGAAAGGCTGAGGCAGGCAAGTGGATTAGCCCAAATCAGGCAAGCTTACGATTGGGGTACTCCTACCAGACCAAATTTTCACCAAGCAATGCCGCCGATTCAAGTTGCTTTGTTTTGACCGTTTCCTCTACTTTAAAGCAGTATTTGATTCCTCGACGATGCTGAAAATTTTGAAAGGGATACCTGAGTATATCGTTTCTATTTTCGAAGAAATGTATGCAGACACCATGTTTGATATCAAAGCTGAAGGAGAGCTACCTGAATAGTTCCGTATTAACCGTGGAGTTCGCCAGGGAGATGTGTTTCGCCTTTACATTCACTGTTGTTCTCGACTTTTTTCTCCGAAATAATGCTGACCCCGGTAAAGACGAAGGCTCAATTTGGAAGAAAGGCACAGGTCAAAATAACCGGCTAGATATCTTGCTGATCTGGCGTACAGAGATGATACTGTCATGGTAAGAACTACTTCGGGAAGCGGTTGAGAAACCTATTCTATCCAGTGCAGCTGAGAATAGGAAGGTGATACGTTTCAGGAGATTGATCAGTTTTAGTATCTCGATTCCATCTTTCCCAGTGATGACAGTATCCAGTTAGAGTTAAACAGGAGGATCAGCCTAGCCTCGAGTGCCTTTGGAAACTTGTCGAATATGTGGGCTGAGAGAGGAGTTATCCTGGCCACGAAACTCCGCCTACACTGCCTCTGCCAGGTCAGTTTGTTGTACGGCATTAACACAGCTGTTCTCAGGAAGGCGCAAGAACGACGGCTGAACTGCGTACAGCAGAGTTGGCTTCGGAACATAACGACGGTTAAATGGCAAGACCACGTAAGCAAAGATTCCATTCTCTTCCGGGCACAGCAGACGTCGTAGATGCGGAGGATGAGAAAAGGAGGTTTACCATATATGACAAACTGAGTGAAGATACCCTATTTACAGCAGCTCGTTGGCATATCGTGTGGGGGCGGAAACACCGCAGACGTCGATCAGGAAACCAGCATGCAACGTGGAAAAACAAGACAGAGATCGGCCTTCGGAGAGGAAAATTTTCCTTTGTGAAACAATAGACGGGGCCTTAAAGCAAACGAATGAGAAAAAACTGCGGATGCAGCGGACATCTGAAAAAAAAAATCTGAAACGTGCTGCTTACGCACACGGCTGTTTAATGATCTCAACAAACACCCCAAATACACGCGGTAAAATTCGCACAAAAGTCGGCCCGTTAAGAATTTTCCTGCCAATGAAAAGAAATCAGAAATTCATCAGACAGAAAGCCAATGATCCAAGGAACCTCGGCCAACTGACCTTGTGAACATACACTAGGCCTTCGCAGCAATCAAAATATCTTACTGTTCTTCTAAACTCGCATGCGCAGTCAGGAAGATTTTATTTCATCTCGACAAAGGGAACAGTAACAAGAAATCTAGAATTTTTCGCGAATTTGTTATATGGCGTCGCACCAAGATTTTCGATATTGTTCTAATTTTTGCACAGTATTTGTCGATTAAAAGCAGTACATATACCCAGCTAAAACTTACGGAATACCGTAGCAAGGAGTATATACCTGCAAATCTATGAATGATCAAAACATTGCGGTATTAAACTAAATGTTTAAATTATTTAAAATTATCTATCTAAATCTGTTTATCTGAGATGCTCTATTCATAGCATTTCCTTTCCTTTCTACAAAATCTCTGCTATTTAGATCCTATACATATTTTTAAAATTCTTTTCTAGACATGTCCATGACTCTTAGAAATGCTGATTGTGTAAAACTTACTTTAAGTCCAAAAATGGTTGAAAAATGAAACTTTTTTAATGTTGATACAGAAATCGATGCAGTCAATCGGTTCATCATTGTTTTGCTTCAAAATGGACTGGTATAATGTTTAGTGGTTGCCATTAACTGCCTAATTTTATTCGATGCAGATCATGCATTACCTTCTCAAGATTGAGTCATACTTCGGCTTTAAATATATTTCACAGTTCAACAGAATGCAAAAGACAGAAGAAAATGTAAGAGAACCGCAAAAATTACCGCCTTTATGCAACACGAGTCTGTTAGCGATCATTTCGATTGCGATTCCGGATGAAGCCACTTTATCAGGGACAACTGTTATGCATCACAGATTTACAAATTTTTTCCTGTGTTGAATCGATATACAAGCATCTTTATCGTAAAGTAAATAGCCGATATCTACTACAAGAGTTTATTTCAACGACTTGAACTAATACCGTGCAATCAGTGCATAGTAACTGAGCTATAGTCATATTAGCTGATTGATATGATGTTCATATCAATTATCATTGTGTTCATATCAATGATGTGATGTTCATGTTTGCAGTTCCTACAAATTTCTTTTATGAACATTCAACTGCTCAATTATTTTTAATTTGCTTGAGAGTTTAATACATAATTGTTAGCTGCAGCGGTACTTTCCTTTCTCGTCTACTATGAAGCGGAGCAAAAGCACCGTTGGGTCGAATTCTTGTCCTTCTGCTTAGTTGAAGCAACTAGGACAATGCTGTTGATTATCTCCAAAACCTACTCCGATTCGATATTAAAGGCATCGGAATTTCAGGACGACTATTCATAAGCTTGTTGTCATAAAATTTCGTAGATTTCGGAAAGCACTGACGTATTTATACGACATTGATGAACCAAAAGTACTATGCAAGTTTGATTCATACGCTCCAAAAATTTTCCATAGACTTAAACGACGAAAGCGGCAACAGCGACAAAAATTATCGTAATGCAGTTCAATTGTTACCAATGTGACTGTCACGTTTTGCCATGTTTATCACCAATGTCGTTGCGAAATAAAGCTGAAATCTCAGAAAAGCGTCACACCGTGACACAACGGTCGAAAGCTACCCCCAGCAAGTTATACAATGCAATTTGGCTCTCTGTTGCTTTGACTGCGCAATTAAACATGCTGGGTGGTGACCTCCATAATTTATCTTCACGACATCTGTCGCAAAGAGTACGCATCGATCAGAGTACGAGTTCACTTGAAGAGCGAAGTACATTGGAGTAAATATCTCTCAACCGTTGCTGAAACGACTTAGGCCTGACAGCTGGTCGGTAACAGCAGCTGAGAAGCAGTAAACGAACAACTGGTATACAAGTATTCTCTAGCACTAGTCGAAAAAATGCAGGAATAGCAGACATGTTATCATAGTTTTAAATCTTAGTGAGTGAGTCGCTTTTCATCGTCTTGTTCATAAGCAACTACCGTTTCATGGAAAGACAACAGAATTAACAAAAGTCTACATGCTATATTTTCTACTTAATTGTACATGTTACTTTAATAATAAAGGTACTCCTGGCTGATGCATAATAATGGAAATCAGCTCCACACGCTAAGCTCGATAAAATGCAATGTCATAAGTTGAATTAGTCAGAGACGTATCAACATCAAAACGATTAAAGACCTTTCTCATTACAGATGGTTCTGACTTCGACTTTCCGTAAAACACGGTAGCGATGCACGTTTGAAAAATATGCGACAAATTTGGTTGCCATAGTCAAAAACGAAAGTATGAAAACAATATTTTGTCCCAGACTCCAGTTGTCTTCAGCCGAAGTTCAGACTCTGGCACAGGATCGGGAACGCTGAAAGCACTGTCTGACGCGTCTGCCTCAGCGATCAGAAAGAAAAAGCGGTCATGGAAGATGAAGTTGAATAATACTTTGTATTGGTATACATCCGATTATACAACAATCATACATTGCAGCAAAGTATTTACATTTTAATGACCTGCGGTAGCCGCCAATGCCTGCTTTTACCGATAAATAAAAAGAAACAGCGAGAAACTACGGTTTGAATTCCATTATTATGTATTCCACTACTGCAACACATTTAAAAATTAGCAGTGGGACAAAAGCAATCCGCTAACATTAAATACTGATATTAAGGTTCTTTCGAAAGGGATTCCTAAGGCCAATAAGAAATTTTTGCATAACGCACATATGTACTGCAGTTAATATTTATCTGCCACTAGATTTGGATATGACAAACTCCATATACGTCTAAATTAATTATCTGGATGCTAGCATTTCATGAACATTAGTAAAAGTATCCACACCTTTAACTTTCCCAATCCGGGTTGTAAACAACGAAGGTCAAAGAGCTACTGAGCCTAATCAAGGAGAATAATATTTATGGATAATGATGAAGATTTGCATTATCAAATTAATATGAACGTTATTTGTAGTAACAGTAGTCGCCACATGATTTTATTAAACTTGTTTCATGCTGTAGACAAATGAAAAACTGACCTGCCCCAAATATGGTTTCCACCGTTAATGTTGTGTAGTTTAGCATGCCAATTTTTGCGGACTGGTCGTCAGTATCTGTTTGAAGCACCAAGAAGCTTCCGAGTACCACCGAAATGGAGATTCTGTGCTTTTCTCCATTGGTGGCATCTACAAAAACAATTCATTGCAGTCGAATATATCTTCGTTCATAAATATACAACATTTTTAAATAAAACAAAAACATTTACATTTATCTGTTCAGACATAGCCCAACTATTGTGTATGCTGCAGTTCAAATCGCTTGAACGTTAAGAGCAAAAGCTTTATAATGCTGAATGAGGTCTCCTTATTCTCGTTGCAACCGGTGCCGAATTATGAAAACTGTATTTCCCCAAGCAAATTTGTGTTCTGTAGCAAGGGGACGCTTGAAGTGCATTAAGTTGCAAAGCGCCGATGATGCTTTTCGAACTGTCTTTAATGGCGAAGAAAGTAACGTTGCAATGAAGACATATTGTGCGTAGTTAGAAAGCGAAATATACCTTTCGGACTAACTGCCAAAATTGTACTGTTTCCTTGCTGTCCAAACTCAGCAAGTGATATACTGTATTGCTTCAAAGATGACGCCGCGAAGTTATCGATGTCACCATTATGAGAGAAAGCAAAACTTTGTAACATTGCTGAAAGAAATCGGCTCAAAGCTTGGCAACAGATGACTAAGCAGGATGAATGAGAACTTACAAGCAAAGAACAGGGCTTTGTTAGCTGGTCGCAGTGGTGGAAACCCACTTTAAGTTGTGCATTTTATCGTTTATTTTTCTAGCGCTTAGTGATTTCTGCAAAATAAATTTTTCTTGTCATTATAATCAAGTTAGAAAATGCTATTCAAAAAAGGCTAGTCAGAGGAACTGCGCGTTGAACCGAAGTTCAGAAAATTTCTCTGCTACTCTGAGGCACCTCACAACTAAGTCTTTGCAAACTTTGCATGAAACGTTTGACGCAGCCTTACAGCAGAAATCATTTTTAATTCTGCATTTCAGCATTAAAACTTACCTGTGACGAAATCAGCTCTCTTGAAAGGGAGAACAGCTGCAAAACAAATACTGTAGCAGTTCTTCAGTGCCGTAAGTTACCTACATTTGCATCGAAAGCGTCTCTGCTTTCCTTTCTGACCCTTAGGGTGTTTTAATATCATATTATAAAGAAGGTGGAAAGGAGAAGACCATTGGGCAATGGACTGTAGCAGCACTTTACACGTTAGGTGTCGGATACGAATCTCAAACACGACAGAAACTTTTATATTAAAACTGCTAATGTCTTTCAGCAAGAGATTCATCCCACTGCAGTTCGCTACTACCAGTCGAGGAACAAATAGCAAGCCACTGACCCTGCGAACAACATGTAAAGCACAGTGTTCTGGTGGGGTCATGCTAAAGCACACTACCTTGATGTCTAATTTGCGCTCTTTAGGGCTGCAATTGCTTTGACTCACCCGACAGCTGAGTAATAAGCAGCTAGTGGCATAACCCGTAAATAAGAGAGAACGTAATTGTTGGCTTGATGAATAGGAAACTTTCGACCTTTGGACTAGTTATGTGATCAGCTTACCCTAAGCAGATTCGCAAGATTTCATTTAGTGTAACTGCGTCTAAACTAATTTATAACACAAATTCTTCAAGCATCTACATCTTCGTGTCAGATAATCACAAAATTAAGTCAGCGTGACATTACATGGTATTGACTTTCACTTTTATGATGCAATTCCTAGTCATGTGTGCCGTTTGCCATGTGTCATTTGTCGGCTGCTTTGCACGCGTGCTGCAAGATGGTCACGATAACCAAATTTAGCTAGATTTTAAAGTTTGCCTTTATAATGAATCACATCCAGAAATTTTCAATATATTGAGGTACTGTGGAACACTCCCATCATGATGCGCGAAGGCTTGGAAGCGATACTGGATCCCACTTTAGTACTTTGAAGAAGTGGTGTGCCAGACACTCATCAATAACATCTTTCCGCGATCTAGCCTCACAAAATGCGACACTTCTCTGAATTCATGGTCGGGCAAACGTTTGGGAGACTAGGGCAATGGTGGTAAGCGCTCTGCATGAATTGCCGAACAGTTACTCGCTGATATATATTAATAGAAGCGGAAACCCTGAAAGTAGGTGCAAGCTACACGAGGTCGACATAAAAAACATATATGGACCGATAAACCATGGGACGCGATTTGTAGACGAACCCGGAACGTCATCAAGATCTTCGTGGCCAGCGATAATGCGTAACGCCAAAGACAGATGCATTTTCCGGCGTCTGTACTAAGGAAACGGAAAATACCAATCTTGAAATTATTGGAATAAGTAAGCTCCGATCATTTACTGATCGTTTGACTCAGTAGAAGAGCGGTGTCCAAGAATTTTTCCGGCAGGCCTTTGAGAACTGAATTCGTACCGGCCGCGTTGGATACCTAATAAAAAGGAAGGCTGCGCAATTTGTACTGAGTTGTGGTATTTTGTCTTCTCTTGTAGCAATTCTAGTTTTACAGATAGAAAAATTAAAAACAACAAAAATAATCTGAGCTTACAGCTCAACCCCACAAACTGAAGATGACGTGATGGAATAATTTTACGAGAAACTGAAAGGAGTAGTGGAGAGGAGGCTTACATGCACAATTGTTCAAGGAGAATTCGATGCATTCGTCAGCAAAAGAATGAAAGACACAAGTCTTCATCGGTAAATTTGAAGAATACGAAAGAAATGAACGCTGAGATCGCCTTGCAACTTTAGCCGAAAGCTTCGACATGCTCATCTTCAGAAAGTGCCAAACCGAAAGTGACCATGGTGAAGCCCAAACGGAAAGTCTCTGAACCAGATGAACCATATGTTGATGGACGAGAAAAGAATAATATTAGACGTTTTAGTTACAGATGAAAATATCACCTGTATCGGGTCGGATTAGTGACTTCTACGTTCCATAGTTACGATCGAGTCGCAAAACAAGAGCGAATCGAAAGAACCTGAAAATCAACGCTTTGTGGAGGACCACGATTCAACTCGAAGAATTTTCCTATCTCATATGTAAAACGCATAATGAATTTATTCAGTGAGTCTGGCGCTATAGGTGTCATGTAGCGGTGGGTGCACCAGCCTTGTGGTAGAAACATTATTTGTAATCGGGAAGCACTTCGTGTGTCAAGGATTCGACCATGAAGCAGGCTACACGTCGCGGATTTGTTCCAGTTCCGAATGCAGTTATTAGCTTCGCTAAATGCTTACCGACGGATCTGGATCGAAGCGTTGCGACGACTTGCTGGAATTCGTCGAGCATCGTCAGCCACACGGCATGGTGTTCTATCTGGGCGTAAAGCTTGAATGGCACTTTACCGGTAGCCTCGCTACGGCCGGTGATCTGCAGCAGTGCACCGAAGTGGCTTCTGGTCTCGAATGTGGCGCTGATGCGCATCATCTGGCTTAGATCCCAAACGAAAGGAGTCATCAACGCACTGGCGTCTTTCGATCTCAGAGTGAACGACCGCTCGACGTAGCCGTCATCGCCTTCTTCCTCTGCAGCCACCTGCTGGCGGACGACTACCAACGTTGCGAACAGAACGGCAGAAATCCAAGTCAAATTTCGAACTGTCGTTCGCACCATACTCGTATCGGTAGCTGTTCGATAGACAACACTGACTACCACGACTCACGGTGCATGCACACACACACTTCCAAACGCAACGTCAATGTCTCGCAGGCACAGACCGTCCGTTGCGACCGCTCCGATGAAGGATGCCGTTACAATTCAGGCTTCCTGTGCTAAAAAGTGCTATGTATTGTGCATGACTAGGCGATCGCCCAGTGCCCGTAATGTTCTGTCAACAGGCGTTCTTCTCGATTGGATTCATGGCACCAGAGTAAACACAGGGCGCAGGAGATATGACGCCATTCTTCGGCGCGCACAGTCATGGTCAGAACAGCACGATTATCAGATTGACCCTGTCCTGTCAAAAACTTTCGCTGCTGTGCCGTACCGCCGCTTCAACGATGACAGTTAACAATCGCCATCTTACAGGGGACCCGCTATTGAAAGAATTTATTTGGGTTATGCTCTACCGCGCGTCGTAATGAGTGAACCACTGACTGACTAATCTGCTAATCTACGCTTGTTTTTCATCGAAGCACAATCGTTGTGACGACCCTGGAAACGTAGTTACCATCTCCTGTCCATCAAAGATATAAATATATCGACTTGACTTTGAATCTTCAATTTCTCTGACCATGCAACTTAGAAGTGTCTATGCTCTCAATTTTCCCATAAAAATCGAATTTACCCTTCCAGAACGTAAGGGGGGGGGGGTTAAAAAATATGCGTGAAACGCTTCTCTTACCAGATCCGATGAAAGGTCAGAAGTTTAGCAGTATTCTTCATAAGCAATACCACCATTTTCAGTTATGCCGCGTCCTGTGCAATCACAATAAGGTTAGTTAGACATTCTCAGTAAACTCACCTGTCAATTATGCATTGGCAGGTGTAATCAAAGCGAGTCGTCTGTTGAAAGGACAAGCATAAATTTGATACGATAGAAGTACATTGAGACGTAAAGCGCAGTTTTTCCCTCACCGTTCTAACGAAAGGTTAACAGCGTGCTTAGTGACAGAATTTCATCTATGACAACTTTGTACCTCTAGAAAATTGATATGCATCGCTCTCGCTGGCCACTGTACTGTTTTTGAACGTTGTTCAGTTACGTCAAACAAGCCTGTTAACAGTAAAAGTTTACGGTTCATTTTTATCGCAGATGCTTTTGACAAATTCAACTTTAGCTCGCAATCCACACATGTGACTGGTTATTTAATTGAGGACTCTAATGCCGTGGTGCAACATGGATCAACATATTTTTCATTGCTGTAAAAGCTTTTCACGACCCTCTGAAATTTCAGCTAACGCGGTTCCGGCAACTGAAGCTGACAAACTTGGTTATAAAATTAAGGCAAATCTATCAAAGAGTAGCGCTTCAATTCAAATACAATGCCATAAACCGCGAATTTTGGCGGCACCGAGCAGGCGAGTGGTTCATCACTACAGAGCGACTGTAAGAGTTATGCTCAGATGGCCGCAAGAAGAATGCCTGGCAGCATGCAGACGAGGACTTAATTTAGTGCAATCAACCTATTCGTCTGCCTACATTTGGGTCCGCAACGCAACCTGTCTAATTGAGGTCCAACAGCTGTTTCTGGCATTTTATATAAAAGGGCTGAAGTTCTCTGAGGTTCTCTATCAGCCAAGTTCAGGTTTCACAACCACAATCAGGACACAATTAGCAGCTGTAGAAAACGAAGTTTGTCTTCACACTGACCCATTGCCGCTCGTTGACTTGCGCTAGTGACTTCAAACGAGACAGGAAGCCGATTCTGCATAGCACCTCCGGTTTGCACCGCCCAGAGTAATACTGTCTGCTGCTTAAGTAGTGAATTCTCTGAAGGCCTCCACTGAATGTCCATCAACTACGGTGTTTTGAACTAGCTCATCTGCGGCTAAGATTAATGACCATGTCTTTTTTCACGTTGGTAAAAGGGAGTCAGAGTTATAGTGACTAAAAATCTGGACGGGATGACTGGAGTCGTCGTCTGTTCAACCCCGAAAAGAAGTATTGTTAAACCCTACTCTTCGAATAATAAACGATGACGCATTAACATCGCTAGGGGAAGGCCAAGAAGATTTAGGCTTCGCTCGATGAATGAGTAGATAATATCGGGAAATGAGGTAAAGAACGTCAGTCACACCATTTGCTTGTTCCAAAGCGGAAAAAGGTTGCGAAAGAGCTCCAAATCATGCCTCGTTTCATTAGTTTCAGTTATCAGTTTGCCATTGCTACCGCAGACGGATCAAGCTGACTTAAACGTCTGATGATGGATGATTCGGTCCTTGGCGTAACATGTTTCTTCGCCGTTTTGGCGAGTTCGTTTCCATTTCTCAGCAATTCGAGCCTACAAAGGCATTCGACTCCACTGACCGCCACTGACGAAGTTTCCTATCCTTTACATATTTTATTCCTAACCAATTCTGTTAACCGTTCTCGGTAAGAGTGATCAGTCATTGTCACACCATCAGCAGGGGGCAGTAGCGAAGTGCGGGCTGTAGTGTCGCTTCGCACGATATATATGCTAAGCTAAAGTTCTACGCGCGACATAAGTCCTTCTAATTTCTTTTAGCAAAGAATTCACAACTCAGCGTTTCTGTGTAATCAGCCAAGAAACGGTTAGCAAATTACTGACCTGCCGACAGTAGCAACCGTCTGATATGCTGGTATAGTAATGCCAGAGAGTGCCAGAAAATCAGGCACGCTGTCTCATGCCGTACCTCACGGCTGCCATTTGTCTTAACTCATATGATAGCTGACTAAAAATCAACACGTAAATTAATCACAGATAAAATTCAGTTTGACATGAGTCGCTGATGGCGCCTCCAGCTTATTTTCAGCCCGTTTGCCCAGGACGCTGTACAAGCCACAGACGATACTGACCGATTAAGATAAGTCGTGTAAACATGTAAGTCATCGACCAACCAACCGCCCAAAGTAACAGAAATCTGACGTGGTTTTTTCAGCTTTCGAATCATCGGCAGCGTGTAAGTACGAAAAAACTGTTCGTAAAAACGGATCAGTCACTTCTGCATAGAGGCTGCGTGAAAATTGATGACAGGCAGGTAAAGCAGCGAAAACGACGGCGGACGGCGCTGAGCTGGCACTGTCGGAAAGTGGACGCTTCAGTCCGTCTGTGCTGAAGTATGAGATGACACATCCGATCGACACGGTCAAGCTATCAACGGTCGGCGCTCGCAACGCACTGTTGACCACGTGGCGCAGACATATTCGTATCCGAATGGAAATCGGACGACTCCTTTTGTAAGCGCATTTTCGTCGGTGGCCATTCGTTGCTTTGATTCCTTCGACGTACACACG